TACGTGTCTCTGGTACTTCTGTCTCTGTCCATAATTCTTTTTAGTGCTTGCCATGGGACCTCTAACAGTTCTTGCCATTAAAAAGCTCGAATGGTGAGACCCTGTACTTGACTGAGGACTTCTCTGTATGCAAAGAGAACCGCAGTCAAATATCTGTCCCAATCCTTAGGTCTTTCTTGGCACATTTTCCTTCAACATGCTTTTTAAAATACCATTCATTCTCTCACAAAGACCATTACATTTTGGATTGTAAGGGGTAGTAAACAACTGTTTCAGTGATACAAGTCTACAAACTTCTTCCATAAGTTGGGATGTGAACTGGGACTACCCCTATCACTAAGTATTTCCGATGGGAAACCTACTCTTGCAAAAATATCTAACAATGCTTCAGCTATATTTTCAGTCTCAATTCTTGGTAAAGCAATAGCTTTTCTGGGTAACGTGTAGCATAATCAACTACAGTTAATATGTACCTATTTCCCTTTCCGATACAGGCGTTATTGGCCCTATCAAATCAAACCGCAATTCTCTGGAACGTAGTGTCAATAATAGGCATTTCACCTAAAGGAGCTTTCTGAAGTCTATCCCTGGGCACCGTCTTCTGACAAATGTCACAGGAACGACAAAATCTAGTGATATCACTAGAAAATACCTGGCCAGTGAAAACTAGACTGTATCCTGCTAAAGTCTTGCGTACAGACAAATGCCCGCCCACTATAGATTCATGAGCTAATGACATAACTCTTTTGTGATATTTACTAGGAACAACTATTTGTCTTGTTTCAGACTTTAAATCACCTTTCACCGTCTCAAATATTCTATACAACACATCTTTTTCTACTTCATATCTAAATTTGTTACCGCTTTTTGTTTTCATGATCTTATTTTCCCTAGCATACTGCCACAAACGCTGTAACGTATTGTCATTTGATTGTTCTTTCTTAAGAACATTCTACCGTATTTCATTATCTTCGACCTTTTTTGGAACCTTAAGAGGTTTCATTGCCTTTTCTTTCTCTTTTTCTGCTTGTGCTCTAGTAACAACAGCAGCTATGTTTGTTACTTCTCGGCTAACCCACTTTCTCATTTGGCTCATTGCGTTCATTGAACGCCCCTTCCTTTGTGATCTGTTTATCATATTATCAAGTACACCCTGAATATTCCCAGGACTAAGTCACAATTCTGACTCTAAAAACCATAGCTTCTATTTTACCCCTTATAATAAGGGTGTTATTAATGTCTATTTTCCATGAGGTACCAACCTGGCCCGACAATCTTATTGATATCATGACACAATTTTTATTCAGCATTTGATTCTTTCTCTCACTAACTTCTTTCTAACTACTGCTAACTCGCAAACCAGTGTCTCTAAGAACTTTTCACTCTTGATTACCAACATATCCTTTTTAGTTTCAGATCCAATTGACGTTCACCTTCTAATGATTCAATTGTAAGCTGCTTGTAACGAACAGGCACAGAATTGCCATTGGCTAATTTTTAAGTTTCCCCTCTTCATACAACCATCATAAGAACTTGTTGGAGAAATTGAACATTACATAACCCCGATTACTTTCTTATCATCCGATCTACCCATTCACGTCTAAATTCTCCAGGCCTACTACGCCAGTTCCCTTGGTGAAGAATCCCGATTTGTTTTAAGGTAATTTCTATTTTGCTCTCCATATGACATCGCAGCAGCCCCATATCTTTTCTTAGTCTGATCTCGACAATCTCTTGCCACATGACCCTCTCTATTACATATGAAGCATGTAAACTTTTCTGTTTTCCCTATGATAGTTCTGTATTAGATTACCTTGATTAAGGCGTATTGGTGATTTATTTGAAAAATTGGCAACTTTTGAGCTTTTACTTTTTGTAATTGTACCGCCATGAGCTTCTAAGTATTGTTCAGCCAAAGAGATGACATCTCTACGATCCTTTGGCTTTCGTTCCTTAAGAAAAAGAGCTAACTCCGTTGAACAAACTTTGACAAATTGCTCTCTAATAATAAGATCTTTCAATTTATCTACTGTATTCCGCAGCGTCAGCCATTTCTGTCCATCTGCTAAAGTACCTATCTAAGCGAGCCATAAATTGGTTTACAGTCTCCCCTTGTTCCGGCTTACTCTCTCTAAATTTATTTCTGAAACCGTCTTCTGTTAATTGGTACCTTTTTAAAACTGCTGTTTTTTAATTCTTGATAGTCTGATGCTTGCTCAGGAGGCATACTAGTTAAACTTCAAGTCCTTTCCCAGTTAATAACGAACTTAAGCTTATTGCCCATGTATCTTCTTTCCATCCTTGACTAATGGAGAACCTTTCAAAACGCTCTATATAAGCATCTATGTCATCTTTTGACTCTTCAAATTTAGGCAATCTTGGCTTCAAACCGGTGCTAGGTGGGGTATCAAGGGCGATCCCCAGCCTCGATTTTTAACTTCATCAATTCTATTTCTTGCTCTTTCATTTTCATCTCTACTTCAGCTCGAAATAAACGTTTCTTTTCCTCACGTTCGGCTTCTTTTTCTAGACACTCGGCCTCGAAACGCCGTCGCTCTTCCTCACGTTCAGCTTCTTTTGCTTTACGCTCGGCCTCAAATCGCCGTTTATTTTCTTCACGTCTAATATTTTCTTTCTTCTCTATCAAGATATTCTGATTCTTTCTTTGAACATAAGTCACGTAAATCCCCGTCCTTCAAAACCCAAGGCCTCTCTCCCAATGATACCCCCCATTTATCAATAATCCATAATTGCTTAAATAATGGATTACTATTAAAGAAATAATAAACTTTTACGAAACCCGTAAAGTAAACACTTATTATTCAACAAAATGGTGGTACCCTCTGTAAGCACCGACAATTGTTTTTCCAAAATCTTCTCTATATAGCATGGCACCTACGGGAACGGCCAATTGAACTTGTATTAAATTAAAAAAACAGGGAAACTGATAATAATCTTCCTGTAGTGTTTTAACAACTATGTAAATCTTTAAGAAAAAAAAACCAACAAAGCACCGGCTTTGGCAAAAAAAACATCTATTCAATTATTACATAACTTTTATGAATAATCCACCCACTGGACACCCGTTATAAAAACTTCTATCAGTTACTGATGTTTATAACTTCAACAAATTATAAGTTTTATCTTTATCATCGATATAAACTTATTAACACAAGATTCAAACTATCAAAACAAATGTCTCCCCAAAACCACTTTATTCTATCACCGTATAAACAGTTTTTCAACAAAGGGGGCTCTCCTGCTAAAACGCAATAAATTCTTCAGTATAACATAAACTTTTAAAACACAGTTTAAAGTCACCGCTTCTATACATATAAACCTCTGTTTTAAACTCTATTGGCACAGAAAGTTTACTTGTATAACACTACAACAGATTTATAGATTTTTCGCCTAACAGCATTTTAACACTGCTACATTTTACCAACAGATCGAAAATGATTTAAGGTTTAACAAAAATTTTATCAAAGTTTAAACAAACAATATTTAGCCAGGAAAGATTCCAACTTAAATAGAACATCCCGGAGGAGCCCCCAAATTGTCAGGAGAAATGTCTGCCTTGATGTTATTTAATCTAAGGAAAGATTCAGTAATAAATACTCGAACCAATTTCCAAGATATGGGGGCTGGGCAGCACCGCCTGAAATAAAATTGAAATATTCTCAATTGGAAAACAAGCATGTAATTGTTTAGTTAACACTGTTTTTTTTAAGGTATTTTTATCTTTTTCTATCTCAAATCAATATATACATGTAAACAACAAACTCTGATTATTATTTACACCCCAAAACAAAGAACTCTGATCATTATTTACACCCAAAACAAACACACATCATTTATCAGCCACTTATATGAAATATCTTTTCACGTATACGTCTTTTATACGAAACAAGACACCGGGGCGACCCCAACCTCTAAAAAAACCCCAGACAAACAAAACAAAAAAATACCAAAAAATGAAGAAAAAAAATGAATTTTTTTACAATTTAAGGGCCCTTTGTTTACCCCTTTTAAAAGTTTCTAACTTTGTCAATTTAGAAAGCTAAATAAACCCCCTTTCAATTTTTAATCAGGCACATTTTTTACGGAAATGTTAATTAAGTTTCCCCGGGAATTATCCCTTTGTCTTCGAATACTATCTTTTTTTGAAAAATTGTGAATAAAAAAGGGGGAAAAATGTTTTGAAAATTTTAGTTTTAAAAAAAATTTGGAAAGTCAATGAAATTAAAATGTGAAATTTTCTTTTAAAAAAAGGGGAACATGTGAGAAAAATTTTTTTGAGCTGAAAAAATTGATGAAAATTGTTTATTTGATGGTTTTTCATCTTTAAAAACCCAAATTTGACAAAACCGGTATTTGAAAACTAAAATTTTTGTTTTGCTCTTCTGTGTATCAGTGTATTGATCTGTTTCTCTGACCAAGATATTTATACATTTACTAAAATTTAAAGATCATGAACACTGAATCAGTAACAAAAAAGGTCAGAAAATAATAAAAAAAACAGCACTATCACACCTTCGGGGCACATGTTTTGTGTCAAACCGGTGTTATCAGTGTCTTGACAACCAAAAACTTGTAGAAATATAGAACGTGTTCTAACTTTCTTGCAAGGAATTATCTTCTTGAATGTCACATAATTTCTTTTTAAAACTCATTCAAGTAGGGTGTCTACACTATCCAATACAAGAGAATATGATACTTGCATTCAAGACTTGGATAGGTGTAGACAGGCCCGTCTACACCTATCCAAGTCTTGAATGCAAGTATCATATTCTCTTGTATTGGATAATGTAGAATGGAGAATGGAATGCTCATTCTATATGAATCCCAACACTTTCATTGGCGTTAAAAAAGTAGAAGTTCTGGATTTTAGCAGGAGTGTAAAATTTACATTAAATAATCTCATTTCAGCTCTAAATGGATCTGATAAGTTGCCGGAATTGAATAAATTGATATTATCAAAATGTTCCCGTTATTCACAGCCGTTATCTATTGATGACAAATTTATGGAGGTCCTTCAGTCAAAGAAAATTAAGTATGTGGATGTGAGTAAAACTGATCTAAAAGGAATAAATTTGACTGCCGTATTCAAACGATTAGCCTACTTGGAGGTCGTGGACGCATCGTACTGTAATATTGGTTTCTTCAAACACATGTATTTAGAGCAAGGCGACCTGAAACGCATAAAATTTGTTGATTTGAGCTTCGCGAATCTTCCGAAGAAAGTATTTCATCTTCCACCAGGTAGACTTAAGGTGGAGAATATAAATACTAGTTTATCTAGTCTTCCTCATGTTGAAGACTTCAAACTACTTTTAACTCCTGAAATTATAAATGTGAGCGGAATCATTCCACATGTTTCGTCAATTTGGATAAAAAGCGTCAATTTTACCGTAGATTTAAATCCTTTGACATTCACAAAAGAATTAATAATGAGGCAAAATAATTTAAGGTGGCTTGACATGAATGTCATATGTAAGAATTTTAAATTTTCATCATTCAGTCGCATGGATTTATCTGAAAATGGTATGCAGTTTTTACATCCAAACTTATTGTCATGCTTTCCAAATCTGCAGAAATTAGACTTGTCAAGCAATCAGTTAGTGAAAATGTCCCAGGAGAACATAGGGCTGTTTGAATCATTATGTTCAGGTCTCAGATATTTAAAAAACATTAACATGTCAAGAAATAGTTTAAATAAACTTCCGATGAAAATATTCGAGAATAATAGGAATATTGAAATTATCGATTTATCGGGTAACTTATTAGATCAAGTTCACATTACTTTGGCTAAATTGTCGAGACTATCCGTGTTAAATCTATATGGAAACAAAATTCATGTCTTAGACCAAATGTCTATTCATAACTTGAATAGCATTTCAAACGGTATTGCTACTGACATTGGGAAAAACATTGTTATTTTAAAAGCAAATCCCATTTCGTGTTCAGAATGCAAAGAACTATCATTTCTCGTTTGGCTGACATCAACGAATCTTGTTGATCTTGATTCACAGCAACTGATTTGTTACAATGATAAGGATGAAGAAGAAATAATAACGCAAGAGACTGTCAAGAAAGTCAAGATGATTTGTCGAAGGAAGGTTATTATTACTGCAACAAGCATTTTGGCGGGATGTATTTCACTTATTCTAATAATTTCACTTCTGATATTTTATATCCGAAGAAAGCATAGAAAAAGGTTACAAAATAGAGCAAATGTTATTAATTTGTTACGCCAGGGCAATGGTTACTATGAATTTGCGGTTTTTCTTGCCTTCAGCAATGAAGATGAGGACTTTGTCAATACGCATATTCTACATCAGTTGAATGAAAATCTTCAGTTGATGACAGGAGTTGATAGAGAACTAGTTTGTACAGGTGACCGACATTTTCGACCTGGTTTCTATGTTCAAAATGAAACGTGCAGGCGCTTGGCGACAGCGTCTGTTTTAATTGTAGTAGCTACGGAAAACTTTTGTCAAAGTGTTTATTGTAGAGGTGAGCTTGAGCAAGCATTCATGGAAGGGAAACCAATCATTTTGATGTTTATTGAACAAGTGGAACAAGAACTGATGACACCAACTATGAGAGAGGTATAACAAAGGAATGTAAGGATTGTGTGGACATTTGAAAGCGGTGAATACAAAATGAAAACAACCTGGGAAAATGTTTTGTAAATCAGTTTTAGACCTTATGATATGAAGACCATTGTTCGTGTTGAAATAGCTGTATAACATGGCTATCTGCGATACCTCGAATACTTTCCAGTTTGAGAATAAGTTACTTTAGTCAAGTCACTGATACTTGAAAATAGAAAATTAACTTTGATTTTTACTTTCCTTTTTTTATTTTTACGTACGATGTTATCATATTATTATTTATTTTTTGCAGACAAATGCTACATAAATAACGACGAATATAAACAAACAATGTTAAAGATATGCTATGCTCATCCTTGCGTAAACTATCTTTATCACGTAAAATTTAAATGAAATCTATAAAAATCTATACTGTATATGCCTTAATGAATAAAAGAATGATTAAACCTGTGTATTGGAAATTTGCGTTCATTAAAACCTAAAATTCCCAAGATGTTCTAACTTCAAATTTGAGAAAAGTATATTTTAAGAACAAGGGTATCTTTAAAATGCAAATAAAAATTCCCCTTTCCCCTTTTAAAATCAATTTTAAAAAGTTCTCTGTTAATAAAATTTTGGATTAAAAAGTAAAAAACAAAAATTTTTAAAAAAATATTTAAAATTTGTTAAAAAGATTGTTTTCCCAAAATTTGCCAATTAGTTTTTTTTTTTACATGGTGTTTTTTTTGTTTTCTTTTTGTTTTTTCCCCTTCTATTTTGCTTTTGGTTTCATAAGTGTTTTTTTTCCGGGGGTCCCTTATAAATTTTTTTGTGGTAACAAAAACAAAAAAATTTAACGATTTTTCCACAAGTTACAGCCAAATTTACCTTCTTTATTGAATCATTAAAGGGAGAAACCAAATGACCACAAACACCCTACTTTCTGGGTCAATTAAACCACGGGGGAAAAAAAGGGTCATTCCCCAGACACCTTTGGTTTTAACAAATCCTTTGGATACCTCTTTTATTTAGCTAAGCAATCATTTTGTATTTCAAATTTAAAAAAATGCCAGTATTTCTATTGACACTACATGTATATTTATATTGTGACCACCTTAAGCGTATAGAGTTTAAAACATAACATATCTTCTTTGCGTGAAGTCAAAACATGTTATTTAATATAAACAAAGAGACTGCGTAGCAATTATCTAACTTTTAGTAGCATCATATTTGCCCTAAGTATATCTTTAACCCATTACTTCATGAGCATTTTGTGAAAAATGGCTGTTTTCATTGAAAAGTCTCCCGTTACAAGTTCAAATTGCTATAATACTATAAAAACTGCTTCGACACTAATCAAACTTGGCACAAATGTTGACTGGACCATTGCCCTTGCAACAACATGCTCAGGCTTAAATTTTCTGTTACCATGGCAACGAGGGGACATCTCAAAATTGCCAAAAATCACTATTTTGCGTTGATTTTTTCCATCAAAATTGATTTCAAAGTGCTGTAACTTTTCAATGGATTGAGATAGTCAAATGCTTTTCAGCGTTGGTTACACGTTACCTTATGATCAATCTGGGGTCATTTACAGCCTCTCACAAGTCCAAAATTTTCTTGGCGATGAGGGGGACTCCGCCCCCCTTCAAACCCCCCAAACAGAAGGGGGCACATCCCCCTTCTGGCAACCCCCTGATGTATCTTTTGGTTGGGGGGCCGCGCCGAAAAAGAGGTCACTTTTTTTAACAACATTTCTCAAACAAAAACAAGTGTTTGGGGCCTAAATAAGGCATTTTTTCATCATTTGAGACAACAAAAAGAAAGGGGGGGGTGATAAAGGCGTTAAAAGGCGTGTATATGAAGTAATGGGTTAACAGAAAATGATGAAAATACTTGAAATTACCCTAAATCGCGTTTTTTCATGTTTTTGAACAAGGCCTGTTATATAAATTTGAAGAAAAATTGTTGTTTTGTTGATTTTTTTATTTTTTTTTTTCGTTAACCCATTACTTCATGAGCATTTTGTGAAAAATGGCTGTTTTCATTGAAAAGTCTCCCGTTACAAGTTCAAATTGCTATAATACTATAAAAACTGCTTCGACACTAATCAAACTAGGCACAAATGTTGACTGGACCATTGCCTTTGCAACAACATGCTCAGGCTTAAATTTTCTGTTACCATGGCAACGAGGGGACATCTCAAAATTGCCAAAAATCACTATTTTGCGTTGATTTTTTCCATCAAAATTGATTTCAAAGTGCTGTAACTTTTCAATGGATTGAGATAGAGTCAAATGCTTTTCAGCGTTGGTTACACGTTACCTTATGATCAATCTGGGGTCATTTACAGCCTCTCACAAGTCCAAAATTTTCTTGGCGACCCCCTGATGTATCTTTTGGTTGGGGGGCCGCGCCGAAAAAGAGGTCACTTTTTTTAACAACATTTCTCAAACAAAAACAAGTGTTTGGGGCCTAAATAAGGCATTTTTTCATCATTTGAGACAACAAAAAGGGGGGGGGGGGGTGATAAAGGCGTTAAAAGGCGTGTATATGAAGTAATGGGTTAAGAACTAGGTACCTTTAATTCAAATAATGTCCTGAATTCATTTTTATTATTTGCATTTATGTTCTTTGTGATAGAGTGGAGTAAAGAAAGTATATCATCGTAATGTTTAATAGTATTATTTTCAAAGAAATACAAGAAATTAATGTAAATGTGTTTTAAAAAGTAATAGCAAAATATCTTACGATTTGATCCTATGATTTTATTGCATAAATACTTTCAATCTCTACATCACAACATGTTAAAATATTATAGCAAAAATTACCGTTTTGATTTTTTTATTTCACAATTGTTATTGCGATGATGTGCGATATTTTCAACAGATTTGTACGCAAAAAAAAGTGGGAAATTAGCCGTAGAATCACAGTATATTCGGCAAAGATAAAAGAAAGACATCAATGTAAAGGCATACGTCTACTGAACATTATTAAATTTAGATTTAGAACATCTAATGAAAATTAAAATAAAACGGGCCGTTTTATCGATAAAAATGGAGGGGCTTTGACGTCATACCAACAGTTTCTTTTACAAAATAATGCTGCGGAAGTAAATTCTACATATTTACATGTATGCATACCAACATTCATCAAGATCTGAGATGTTGTCAAATTTCGGTTGGAAAGAAGCAAGCTACTTAAAACTTTCAAGTACTGTTTTATTCATTGTGTCCCATTTTATACTACAATATAGACTTTTAAAAGAAAAACATGAAATAGTGTGAATATATGGATGTTATGTTTTTAGAATATAACGAACGAAAATGGTTATATTAAAACATGTGTGTATCTGGGGAAGACAAATCTTCAGTACATTAAACAGTAAACAGCTGTGATATGGTTTGTGGAGTTGTCTCCCTTAGAAGTAAAATGTATCGTAATTCTGTTTTAAGGATGGCTTTTCATATTCTATCAAACCGGTACCGTTAGCATAGTGGTTAAGGCGTGCGATTTTGTATCGGGAAGTCGAAGGTTAGAGCCCCACTGGTATCCTTATTTGAAGAATGAAAGGACTCGTTCCGAAATGGCCGCTTCGTGAGCCGCGAAGTAGTGAAAATGAATTGTTACCGATTTCTATCCGCCTGGCATAGTGGTAGGAGTTGAGTGGTACATTGTATGCAAGCAAAAGGTGTCTAATAAGTCAGAAATGACTGAAATAACGTACCTTAAATAAAAATAAACGCTTGGTTTACAAAGGGTGATTAAGTTTAAGCATATTTTACCAATATTGTATCATGTTAAGTTTTTTAGTAATATGTAACGAATAACATCTAAGCTCACCATAAAGCGCTGACAAGTTAATATTTCTTTTTGCCCATAAGACTTTGCACAAAAGATTAGTATGCATTAATTTTGTATTTTTAGCATCGTGCATTTCCAAAACCTCCAAATTAATATTCAAAATGGGCTCGACTAGAAAATCAATCAATTTACATTTCTGATTAGCTATGAAAAGCTATACATTTTTAAATACTTAAAACATGTTATGCAAAGCGAATGTGGCATGTTCAGCTATTCTGTTTTGATTTTTTTTTTAAGGAGAGTAATTCCAAGGTATTTAAATGATTCTATATGTTCGATTGGTGAGCTATAAATAAAAAAATATGCTGAGTATATCTGCATTTTTCAAAAATCCTTGCTTTTGTTGTAAACGTATTGTCATGCTTCTTCAATATTGAGAACAATACGAACCGACTTGTAGGTTTGCACTTCTAATTTATGTTAATCTGTCAAAAATCATCCATTCATCCATTCAGGGTTGAGGTAAAGATCAAAGAGATTATGAAAATATTATTTTTAAATTATCATTAAAATTTCAATTAGCTAATTATTCATGTTGTATTACACGAAATATCACTGATGAAAACATTATCACAGAATTTAGATTCTTTGATTTTACTGACATTTCAGATATTTAAACATGACACTGTTTTTAATAGACATTACAAAAGAAATAATTGGGCGTACCAAATCAAGAATATACTAGATAGCCATGGATTTAGCCATGTATGTGGACACCAATTTGAAATCGGTATTTTGTTTGATGAAATTTAAAAAATGACTTATGACTCATACGTGTAACATTGGTATGAGGAAGAAAATATTTCGAATCGACTTCATTCGTGCGCTAAATTTAACTTGAAAAATACCATAATATCATTCATGAAAAGAAGTATCGAATCAGATAGCTTAAATATTGAAACAGGAAGATGTAACAATATTAAAAAAGAGGTTGTGTAGTTATGTAATATGAATCAAATTGGGACACCATTTTCTTTGTCCTTTTTATCGTGATTTGACAAGGTCACTGTTGGGGTTCAAACTCTCATTTTTATGTGATATAAATATAGACGGCGGTGGTCGTGTCCGCTCAGAAACTTCAGTATGCATGGAAGTATTGTAATTTTTCTTTCACAATGTACCATTTTCTTGTCACTGTGGGAATTCAATTCAAACTTTTTCAATTTTAATGTTAACATACATATAGACAGAAGTAGTCGTGCCTGCTCTGAAACT